AGACTAGATTTGAACTCAGGTCCTCCTGACTCTAGGGCCTGTGCTCTATCCACTGTGCCACCTACCTTCTCCTCCAGCTTATTTTATAGATGAGGGACTGAGGTAAACAGGGTTTGACTTGCCCAGAGTCACACAGCTAGTAAGTGTCTGAGGCTGGATTTGAACATACAACAACCATTTATTAAGCGCTTACCATGTACATGGAGAGACATATGTTGGATGCTACCAGAAACACAAAGTTGAAATAAAACACAACCCCTGCCCTCATGGAGCTCACAGTATTTCAAGAGCATTTGAAATTTAAAAAAAAAAACACTCAATATAATTCCCAATATTACATTAAAAATGTATTGAAGAGATATAATAAATGAGTCCCATATGATCTTATGAGACCTAACTGGGGAGAAAGGGAGTTGTTGCTACCACTAGTTTCCTGGAGATGTGGTAATGTTTTTATAAAGTATATAAGAATTAAGGTGAAAAAAGGGTAGGGAGGATATTCAGGTGCTGGTAACACTGAGCAAAGGCATACACAGTATATGTTTGGGGAGCACAGACTTGGCCGGCTCCCCTGGAGCAGAGACTAAATGGAGAAGAGTTTTAATATGTAATAAGCCTGGAAAGCTAGGATGGTGTCGGGCTACAGGTAGCCTTGAATGTCAAGCATAAGAATCTGAACTTTAATTTATAGGCAGTACAACACCATTGAAAATTTTTGTACAGAAGAGCGGCATAACTAGATTTGTGCTTAAGAAAGATTATTCTGGCATCAGTGTAAAGGATGGAGTAGAAAAGAAAGGTCATTAAGACTAGAAGACCTGTCAGAACAGTAGAGTCAAACTCAAATAAAAAACAGGAACTCTGTGGCCACATGCTGACTTAGAAAACCACAAACTAATGTGATTTATGTTATATTATATTTTAATTTATTGTTAAAATTTCTCAATTATATTTTAATCTGGTTCCTGCCACACTGGGGTGTTTTGCAGGCAAACCCCTCCAGTGAGCTTGATAGCTCTATGTTGGAAGATATTGCAGTATACTAGGCATGTAGTAAGGAGCTACCTATAATGATGGACAGGAGTGGATATGGCTACAGAGAGGAAGGGATAGATGTGGGAGATCCACTTTTTCCCTTGGGCGTCATGGCTGGGCTCCCCTCACAGCCTCTGGGAGACAAGCAGGCATCATCTCTGCAGCAAGTGAGCTGCAGGAGAGCTCCACATGTCAAGACAGCGATTGAACTCTGTTTCATCTCCAGTACTGTGTGTGGCAGCCCAATCATGCTCAAAAATGCAATTCCATCAACCCTAACAAAGGCTAGAGATCAACTCTGATTTGTGGTCCATCGGGCTTGGGAAATGGCTCATTCACTTCAGCAAGCCCCCGCCACCACACTGTTGTCATAGCTAGTCCCAGGTCAAGCAAGACTTCCTTGATCTTGTGTTATTTCCATAATCATCCCTGTCATTTCAAAAAGAATAAGCAGGTAAGAGCAATTCTGTTGCTCCAATGAACACAGCAAAGCGATCTTCTGATGCCACTTAATTAGATCCATTTTATCTTCTCTGACCGAGCATGACATGCCAGAGCCCTTATTTATGAAAGAAAAATGAATGTCTTATGGTTTCTAACAAAATTGGAGAAAAAATTACCATGGCATTCAGCTTAATCTGTGTTTGTATCCGACATAAATGATCTGAAGATAAATTACAGGAAATTATTTTCCACTCCGTGTAACCATAACAACAGATGGGAATCGCTTCTCATCCGACTTTCTGAATGATCCCCAACTCTTCAGCATCGAGGGAATCAAACTTCTCGGTCTGAAGTCAGTCGGGACTTGAGGATCATGTTTGTGCCTTGTGGGGGAAGGTTACTAGGGATCAAGGCTATCTTTCATTAATGGCACACCCCCTAGGCTTTAGCCTTCCTTTTCCACCCTCCACCACCCACTCCACTAGCCCTTTAGAGATGTCTTAGTCTGGCATTCAAGATGCTGAACCATCTGAGTCCACCTTCCCTCACTAGCCTCATCTCATGCTGTTTCACATCCTTCCTGTTACAGTCTCTCTATTCAAAGCAAAGCGAATTACTGGCTGGTTACCAGTCTGGGGTAACGGAAAGAGTGCTGGATTCAAGTTTAGATGTTCTGAGTTCAAATCTTAGTTCAGTTACTTAAACCAGTATGAACTTGGGAAAGTAATTCCTCCTTTCTAGCTCTGAGTTTTCCTCATCTATAAATTGAAAGGGCTGATCTCTAAATCCCCTTTCAACTCAAAATGCTCTCAACCCTAATCTAATGCTAGTCTCCCCTGCCTTTGTACATTTATGTAAGTCAGGAGTACTTAAGCATTTTCGTGTTGTGGCAGTCTGGTAAAGCTCATGGAGTCCTTTTCAGAAAAATGTCTTTAAATTTTAAAAAATTAAAATATAATTAGATTATAAAAGGAAGCCAAATATGTTGAAATTAAGTTATCTAAATATATACATATACATATACATACATATATTATATATATATACACGCACTATATATACATACATATATACACACACACTATATATATATATTATATATATATATACACACACATATATATATACACACACATACTCTCTCTCTCTGTATATATATATATATATATATATATGTATGTATGTATATAAGTTCCTCATCCCCACCTACTAGAATCCTCTCCTTTCAAGAATTGGCTCAGGTGACATCTTTTTCACGAAGCATTCCCAAATTCCCCCAAAGTGATTTTTACTCCCTTTGATTTTCCTAGGCCATTTTGCCCAGATCTCCCCTTATTCCTGATTACAATCCTCATTACCTAATACTTGGGATGAAAGGATCATAGCTTTAGAGGTGGAAAAAAACCCTACCATCCATTCTAGTTAAACCCTTCTTTTTATTTTTTTCTTTCTTTTTATTTTTTATTTAATATTTTATCCTTCCCTAATTACATGTAAAAGAAATTTTCAACTTTTGTTTTTAAAAATTTTGTGTTCCTGGGGTAGCTAGGTGGTGCAGTGAATAGAGCACCAGCCCTGGATTCAGGAGGACCTGAATTCAAATCTGACCTCAGACACGAAACACTCACTAGCTGTGTGACCCTAGGCAAGTCACTTAACCCCATTGCCTGGCCAAAAAAAAAATTTGTGTTCCAAATTCTCTCCCTCCCTCCCTTTCCCACATCATTGACAAGGCAAACAATTTGATATAGTAACCCCTCAGCTGGTCAGTGACAGAGCCATGGCCCAATCTCAAGTTCTCTGATTCCAAACCCAATACTTTTTCACTAAAATATGATCTTAGACACAGAGTTGGAAGGAGCCTCAAGGGACTTCATGTTCAACACCCTTATTTCAACAGACTAGGAAGCTTAAAAAGCTTATCCCAGGTCACACAGGTAGCAAACATAAGAGGCAGGACTTGAACTCAGGTCCTCTGACTCTAATGTCAGAACTCTTTCTGCTATACCACATAGCCGTAATAATGACAGCTAGCATTCATATAGCACTTTAAATTTTGCAAAGCATTTTATAAATATTATCTCATTTGATCCTCACAACAATGCTGGGAGGTGAGTGATATTATTATCCCCATATTACAGATGAGGAAACAGAGGTACCATGAGGTTAGGTGGCTTGCCCAGTGTCATGCACAGCTAGTAAATATCTGATGCTAGATTTGAACTCAAGACTTCCTGAGTCCAGGTCCAGTACTCGACACACTAACTTGTGACACCTAGCTGACTCACATACCATACTGCTTCTGTGCTGTATGTGGGGGGGTGGGGGGGAAGTATATAAACCTCCTCTGAGACTGTAATCTACCCCAGAACAGGAACTGTTTTTCATTGTTGTATCATTGTGTTACCCAAGGCAAGGCTGTGCCCATAGAATATATACAGTGCATAATGTTTATGAGCCTAATGCTCAGAAAACTTGGAGAATGATGCTATTTATCACCATGTCCAGGGTAAAGATAAAAAGTTTAATCTTTCCTATCTTTGGCTGATGTAGGTAATCTATGTAAAGGATTCCCTAAAGCCTTCTCTGAAACCTCCCTGCAGTAATGACCTTCTACCACCCCACCCCCCTCCTCATATTTTGTTTGACCTTTCTAACGCAGTGACAAGGCAGATAGGTGGGACAGTGGATAGAGCATCAGGCCTGGAGTCAGGGAGACCTGAGCTCAAATCTGGCCATAGACAGTTACTAGCTGTGTGACCCTAGGCAAGTCACTTAACCCTATTTGTCTCAGTTTCCTCATTTGTAAAATGAGCTGGAGAAGGAAATGGCAAACTACTCCAGTATCTTTGTCAAGAAGATCCTAACTAACCTATACTAGCATACTATTTCTCTCTTAATGAAGAATAAAATCCCATTAACTTCTTTGACTGTCACATTATATGTAGATATCAATAAAATATCAAACATTTTGTATTGTGTATATATCATATTTTGTGTGTATGTCAAGGTAATCCCAAACATGTTGAAAAAATAATATATATATGTATATATGTGTGTGTGTATATATCATACTACGTATGTCAATTTAATATAAAATGTTATATACATATACCATGTATTATATGTCCATGCAATATCAAACATGTATATATATCTTGTTATGTCAATGTAACATCCAATATGTATTATCGTATTGTGTTGTATGTTAATATATCATCAAATATGTTGTGTATATGCCATGTATTGTATGTCAATATAACACCGAACGCGCCTGTGTATATCATGCTGCATCGTATGTCAATATAAGATCAAACATGTTGTACATGTATCATGTTATATTGTATATCAGTATGTCAAGCCTGTGTATATATATCATGCTGTATATATGTGTATATGTGTGTGTGTGTGTGTGTGTGTGTGTATGTCAATGTAATATCAAGCATAAAAGCTGCCCAAAAAACCCAGATCATTTTTATATTAGTTGCTATCTGGCCACATTTCCCCTAACTCCCTATTACCTTTTTGACTCTGGTGAAGTCACAGCCTCCAGGCCTCAGTTTTCTTTTATCTAAAAAGAGAAGATTAGATTAAATGACCTCTGATGTCACTTCCTGTTGCATATTTTTTATCCTACTTCTAGCTAGGGACACCAGGGAAGGCTTCATGGAGGAAGCACCGTTTATTTCAGTGTGTCCGTGAAGAATGGGAAGGGACAGAACAGTTTGGGAAGACATACTAAGAAATCTGAGGCAGAGGAAACAGATCGAATAAAGGTAAAATAACCATGGAACATGGTCAACCATAATACATCTAAGTGTAGATGTCCCACAGGCAACTAGTAAGTGGTTTAGCTTAGTTGGAGCACAGAGCACATGAGATGAATGTGAGATATTGCTGGTAAGATTACTGGGAGCCCAACTGTGGAGGGCCTTAAATGTCAAAATGGCATTTAAGCCTTTTCCTATGGGCAATGGGAAGCCATTGATTGAAGGGCTGCATTTTGTTTTTAGCAGAAGATTGTCATTGAAATTAATCTGACTGAAGAAGGCAGCATGGATTGGAGGAATGACTGGAGGTAGAGACGATGTTTAGGTGGTAAGCGCCTCAATGAGGTCAATTGGCAGCAGTGAATATTGAAAGGACACATCCAGGAAGACTGTCTTTGCCTAGTAAGACTTCCACCCTTACTCCAAAGGGGCCAAGGTTTCAAACTCTACCCTAATATCTAAAACCATTCTACTCACCCCATTAGGCTAACTTATTTACCATTTCTGAAAATGACACACATTTCTTCCTTTTGTTAGCCCAGGTAGAATCCTACCCATATAGGAAGCATATAAGAGGTTTCTGTCCAAGGCAGGATTTGCTTTGCTTTGTAGGCACCCTGAACCTACTCTCCTGGTACTTAAAATCACATAGTCCCAGAGATGGAAAAAATTTCAGAGGACAACCATTCCAACCCCTACTTAAAGCTGGAATCCCTTCTACAAACCACTAGACTGGATTCTACCCCAATCTCCTGCCTTAACCTCCAGTACTCATCAACTCCCTGATTCCAGCCTGGTCTCCTGACTCCTAATTTCCTAGGCTCTATCTTGCCTTTGGCTTTCAGGAAGTCCACAGTCCTGGCCTTCCAATTCTAGATGTGTTAGCACTTTTGATCTTGGCTTCCTACAGAACCTTTGCCGGTCCTTTCTTAGTTTGAGATGCAGTAGCCATGAAAGGTTTTATAGAGAAGGACAGGCTTGAACCATGCCCTTAAAGGATGGTAGGATTAATATATGCAGATCAGGAGAGGCATCCAATAGGAAGATGGAAAGACATGAACAAGGGCATTAAGAAAGGAAGAAACGTGAGCTGGTCAGGCAATCATGTCCTTTGATGTGCCCATCTTCAGCTAACAAGGTAAGAAAACAAAAAGGAATTGTTTCCTTCCAGAAAGAGGGATGGCACTGGGTTGCAGAGTACATGGCAGGGTGTAAGATGTGAGACTATCTCACAACATGACTAATATGAAATATGTTTTACATGATTGCACATATATAGCTAGATCAAATTGCTTGCCATAGGAGGGGAGAGGGACAGAAGGAGGGAGAAAAATTGGAACTCAAAATTTTATTTAAAATGAATGTTAAAAATTGTCTTTACATGTAATTGGAAAAAAAATACTATTTTAAAAGGGGAAAAAAGACATAAGACTAAAGGGGGGGGGCAGCTTTTGAAAGGTTTTGATTGCCAAGCAAACAATATCACATTTGATCTTGAAGGTGATAGGAGGCTTCTGGAATTTATTGAATTAAGACATCCCAGGGGAGGGGAGGGAAGCAGGGAGGGCAATATGAGATGGTCAGACATGCATTTTAGGATGATCAGTCTGACAACCAAGTGGAGAACAGATTGTAATGAGTAGAGACCTGTGACAGGAAGGCCAACCAGCAGGTTACTGCAATAGTCCAAGCACGAGGTGATGAAGGACTGCACCAGAGTGATGACGGTGTCAGAGAAGGGAAGAGAACACATATGAGAGAGGTAACCAAGACAAAACGGATAGGCCCTGGCAGATTGAATCCGGGGAGGGTCTGGTGAGACAGAGTGACGAGTTGAGGACAAAGTGCTATGTGCAGTCTGTATTTTTCTCTGGTGCAGAAGTGCTCAAAGTGGGATCCAGGGACCCCTCAGGGTGTCCAAGAGGTCAAAACTATTTTCTGAACAATTCAGTTGTGTCCAACTCTATGTGACCACATGTCCAAGCAGTTTTCTTGACAAAGATACTGAAGTGGTTTGCCATTTCCTTCTCCAGCTCATTTTACAGAAGAGGAAACTGAGGCAAACAGTGTTAAATGACTTTCTCAGAGCCACACAGCTAATAAGTGTCTGAGGTTGGATTTGAATTCAGATCTTCCTGACTCCAGGACCAGCATTCTATCCATGCACCTTTTAACTGCCATGGATTCAGGAAGTATTGAATTCAAATCCAACCTCAGACACTTATTAACTGTGTGACCCTGGGCAATCCCTTCATAATAATATTAAGAGGTTTAATTTCTAGTAAGGCAAATATTGATAGATATTTACACATATAAACAAAAGTTCTTTGGGGCAGGATCCTTAGTAACTTTTAAGATCATAAAGAGGTCCTGAAACCAAAAAGTTCAAAAACCACTGCTTTAATGTATAAAGCAGAGCTAGACATACTGTAGAAATTAAATAAATGCTTGTTGAATAATTAAGAGATAAGGAATGAAGAAACCAATAAGAAACTAATAAATACATTAGGAATGCGTGCGCAATGAAGAAATGTGAATGATCAATAAATAAAAATGACTTAATGAATAATGAATGGATGGATGAACAAAGAATGAATAAATGAGTAATCAAAGAACAAGAAATGAATTTAATAGTCCATAGAGGACAATTTTATTAGGTACGACATCATAGAAGTGTATACTGTGATGAGGGATAGAATATTTAGCTCACTCATCACCATTTCATGAGGACTGGATGTCAGCTGAACAGGTGGTATAATGGATAGAGCACCTGGCCTTGAGTCAGGAAGACCTGAGTTCAAATCTGGCCTCCGACACTTACTAGCTGTGTGACCCTGGGCAAGTCATTCAACCCTGTTTGCCTCAGATTCCTCATCTATAAAATGAGTTGGAGAAGAAAATGTCAAACCACTCCAGTGTCTTTGCCAAGAAAACCTTCTAAAATGGGAGTCACAAGGAGTCTGAAATGACCCAGCAACAGGCTCGACTAGGTGGTGTAGTGGATAGAGTGCCAGGTTTATAGTCAGGAAGATCTGAGTTCAAATCAAGTCTCAGGTACTCACTAGCTGTATGACCCTGGGCAAGTCACTTAACCCTCTTTGCCTCAGTTTCCTCATCTGTAAAATGAGCTGGAGAAGGAAATGGCAAACCATTCCAGTATCTCTGCCAAGAAAACCCCAAATGGGGTCATGAAGAATCAGACACAACTTGAACAACCGAACAACAAAGGGTCACGACTGAAAAACAACTGACCAACAATAAAATTATTACTAATGACAGGAAATTTACTACCTCCCAAGGAAGCACATTCCACTTTGGGTCAGCGCTCATGGTTAGAAAGTTTTTTCTTATATTGAGGCTAAGTCTTCTTTGTGCTTTCTGCTCTGTGCTTCTAGTTCTGTCTTCTAGGGACAAACTGAAGTCTAATCCACCTGCCACAAATCCTTGAAGACAAAGATTGCCCTACCTGCATTTCAAGAGCGAATTCTAAGAGGGGCTTCACCATACTGCCCAAGCAGCCCATGACGCAGAAAAAGGGTTAAGAACCCCTGGAGTGGAGCGAAACCTGAGGCAGGAACACTTAGTACACCTGTGAGTGTACCCAAAGGCTCTGTCCTGTACACTCGTCCCATTACGCTTTCTTGTGATCTTACCAATTCCATTATTTCTGTCTAGCTCTATATCCATCCCAAGAAGGTCTCCTGAATCCCTGTAAATCAATAAAAGGAAGGAAGCAAGGAAGCACTTACTGAGCACCTACTGTGTCAAGTCAATAAGCATTTATTAAGCACCTAATATGCACCAGATCCATGCTAAGCCTGGTGCTACAAAATACACCAGCACAGCCTCACATCAGCAGCTGCCTCATGGACATTTAAAAATAGATGTCCCAGAACAATCTCAAACTCAACATTTCCAAAAGAAAATTCACAATCCTTTCCCTCTAGTAAAGTTCCCCGTTTGTATCGAGGACACCACCATCCTTCCATTTTCCCAGGCGTGAAATGTCATTGATCTCCTTGCTCTCTTTCACCCCCATGTATCCACTGAGTTGCCAAAGCTTGCTGTTCTTACCTCCACGACATCTCTCGCATCTGACTTTTTCATTACACACATTCAGCCTCACCATCTCTCCCCTAAGGAATAGCAACGACCTCTGAATTGGGCTCCCTGCCCCAAGTTTCTCTCTATTTCAGTGGTCTCAGCCTTTTTTGTGTCATGGATCCTTTGCAGTCTGGGGGAGCCCTTCTGAGAACAACATTTTACAAGGCATAAAATAAATACATTGCTGTTGTTCAGTCATTTTTCAATCATGTCTGACTCTTTGAGAGCACCTAGCTGCCCAAAACAAATATGTAGAATTACAAAGAAAACCAATGATATAAAATCCATTTACCAAAAATATTTTAAACAAATTTGAAAATTCCAGGTTAGCAATCTTTGCTACTCCAAACCATTGTCCTTGATGTGCCAAAGTGATTTTCTTTCTTTTTTTTTTTGGCGAGGCAATTGGAGTTAAGTGACTTGCCCAGGGTCACACAACTAGTAAGTGTCCAGTATCTGGTCTGAGGCCAGATTTGAACTCAGGAAGATGAGTCTTCCTGACTCCAGGCCTGGCATTCTCTCCACTGTGCCCCCAAAGTGATTTTCTAAGTGCCTCTGACCACATTACTCCCTCCCCTTCCCCACTTGATAAAACTCCAGTGACTCCCTCTTGTCTCTAAGCTAAAATATAAGGTCTTTGTTCAACTTCTGAAGCCCTTCATGACTTGGCTCTAGCCTCATTATAAACTAGGTCTCTTC